CTAGATGTCTTATTAAAGGTCAATATATCGCTATCTTTGTGTTACGGGACTAGACAGCCCAGGGGAGGGGGTCTTGCAGCAGTGTGCAGAACTTACAACCATCTCATTGCGTGTCCCGCTATAGGAAGCCAGTCGTCGTTGTTTGGATATACCATGCTTACTTTATCATGCCCTAGCCCGTCTGAATAGTGTTCCACTGCCAAGGCGGTCGAAAGTTGACTGAAACCGTCCCGTTGAAGCTTGTAATTTCGATGCGACCACGCTTGTGAGAGCGTTGGGTCCTGTTCAAATCTCACTCCCGTATGCATTCGTAGATGTAAGTCTTCTGCATTACGATGTGAATCAAAAGTCCTAGGTTGGAGAGACAGTTGGAAGGAGATCTCGGGGCCTGATTGTCTGGCTGATATGGGAGGCTTGTAAAGCGTTGGCATATGGCTAGATGCAATATGCGGCGCAGAGTGGTCGGCTTGTGCAACCTTTTCTGCCACTGGTAGTGTCCCAGATGGCTGTGCGAAATATGGTGTCTTGGCATTATCGAAAGGATATCGAGGATGTGGTGCCTGGAACGGTAGGGATACCGGATCGTAGTATGGATGGGTTGCAGGGTGTGGTTCGTAGTGAGGATATGCGAATGGCGGATTCGGACTCCATGGCGGTACACCTGTTATACCCTGGGGGAAATATCCTTTGTCGGGGCGTTCGAATGAGTAAGTATCTGGCCCAGGCTGGCCTTGGCCTTGGTAATAGGAGTGTGGATAAGTAAAATAATCGTATCGAGGACGAGGTAGGAATGGATTCTCGTATCGGGGCGGAGATGGAGACGGGATCCGAGGACGTGATCGCGCATGTATTCCACGAGAGGTTTGGCGGTTCTCAGAACTATTTGTACTTTCTTCGTCCGAGGCATAATAGGAACCAGGGCTCCGAGCAACACCAGGTATGTCTATTGTAACATGTATGCCTTTTTTTTTCTCAGGGGAAGACGAGCGCGAATCTGTCGAAGACCCAGTCTCCTCAGTATATGGCGACGAAAACTCACTGTTAGTTTGATACGGTATCTCTGCAGGATCTGCAGAAGAGCCATTTACACCGACCCGGATAGACTCATCGTCGTTGGCCACCGGCGAATGAACTTTATCGGAATGTTGGGTAGAGACACTTAGCGGCACGTTGTAGGTTGAGCCACCTGAACGAGATAGATAAGCACGAGAAAAATCTAAGTTATCTCTGAGACGAGCTTTGGTGCTTGTGGTGCTGGCGATAGGCCGCCTTAGGTCCTCATCGTCAGCCTCTTCGACATAAGCAGGTTTAGCGTAAGCGGTACGCCTGGAAGGCGGAGGAAGGTTTTTACGAGGTACAGATTTCGAAAACTTTTTGTAACGACGGTAGGAAGAATCGTACGACTCAAGTTCCGACTCAGAAGGAGCGACTCTCAGGGGCCTCTGATACGCAAGCGGCTGCGGCGACGTCGGCTTCGGAGTTGGTACGCTGGGTGGCCTGTCTTCAACTGCAAGATATGGTGGCGACTCGAACCAAGCTGGTGAGTGGGAGTCTTTATGTGAGTTATGGTCGGTCAAGTCTATATCACTCCAAGACTCTATTTTGGCCTGGGTTCCTGCACTCTGTAGTTGATCAACAGCTCCAGCTTGCAGCCATTTCTCAACATCCCACTCCTTATGCGCCGCCGTGTCGACGGCCCCACTGGTCAGATCGTCTGCATTCGACAAGGATCGTACTTGAAAAGATGCATCTTGTGCTTGTTCAAGGCCATTGAAACTACGCCTCTGAGAAGATCCTTCTGTTGGGCCACACCCTTTAGTCAAGGCACCTCTAAGCGGAGCACCAGCGGAAGCTGAGTCACTACAGTCGGATGACTCCGAACTATCATCTGCAATATATGCAAATGACTTTTTTCGTGGTTTACCGCTCTTGAGGTCTTCCAAATGATCCAGGGAGTTGGACATGTCCCGATCGTTGATGGTTGGCTGCCTAGAACTCCTGTCCGGGGTGGAGGACGCACTATCTTGGCTGAGCGTGAAGCGTATCTGATGTAGACCGTCTCCCTACTTGGTATTAGAGTTTGCCATCTAGAAATAAGAGAAATTCATGCTGACCAAATGAGGACTTGTTTGGCGCAGACTGCTTGGAGACGACATTATAGAGTGACTACTGGAAGTAGCCTACTCGGAGACACATGTTCCCTTCAAGCTCCAAGTTTCTGTCAACCGAACCAGAGGCATCTAACATCTACTTCGCTAATGTGATTCGAGGTTCCACGTGCAAGCATAGGAAAGAAATGGAATTCATCTTCTGGATCTCTGCGGGGCTGCCACGAGGCTGTTGGCCCCCAAACTCGTCGCGGGGCTTGGCCGGGCCATGCACATTCCCGGCTGCAGGGCGCCCAACATGATGTTACATAGCTTTCTGTTTATTGGATAGATTCGACCAGTGGTGGCTGCTGTATCTTGATCCATGAGACGGGAAACTGTATGGTATGTCCTTGTTCACGGCGATTGGACTAGCTTCCGTATCTTCTAGAGGTAATGGAGAGTAAACGATGAGGTAGCTGTGAAGCTCCGACAGTGGACAGCAGACTGACTGAGTGTCAGGTGACTTAGCATAGCTGATGTCTCGAATGCTATATTGTGAGCCTTTCATATCTGTCTCCCCGATTGACCAGACGGAGATACCTGGAAGTCTCGATACGTCTCGGAGCGGGGTAGAGCTCCCGTCACGATACGAAACGAAAAAGGAAGGCATCTGGGCCGACACAACGCCGAGATAGCAGTTGGAACTGCCTTTTTTAGGGCCACCTGTACCTCTTATCGCGACCTTCACGCAGTTTACCGTCTTGGTACGGCTGCGTTGGTGAGACGGAAAGGGAATGAGGCCAGTCTTAGGTATCTACCTAAAGGCTTCCGTGCAGTTATCCATTACAGAGCACTGCTAATCGGTGAGCCTAGACACGGTCATTTCGTGACAGTCCATGATAGTTAGAGTCTACGCAAGAATGCTCATGTGCAAGATGGGCGTCTCGGAGATTCTGTCCGTACCTGATGCAGGTACTGATGGTGTTGAGCCCGAGGTGTGATTTAGTGCGGCGTAATCTCAATGTTGGAGTCTTTCCTTTGCCCCACACCAACCCCATCACTTGGCAAGCAGCTGGCGCCACCCGCAATGCGGCCCTACCTCATCGAAGTCACCAGAATACGTGCCTAGCTAGGTGCCTATAGACCGGTGCATGACGAGGCAGACCATAGACGACTCAACTGTGTAGGATATTGCCTGTTGATTGAAAAGCACAGGACGTTGATCGCAGTATCTACCCCTACATCCATAGTGAGGACCACTGATGCTCACGTTCCACAAGTGCGGCTTAAGTAGGACTTCGCAGTACAACGCAATGGTTACCAGTCTCAACGATAGGCAGGCAGGGATCACCAGAATCGGGATCGACAGGGAGGTTACAATATGGAAAAGAGAGAAAGAGAATCAAATAGATGGAGAAGATCGTTCCATTTCTTCAGATACTTCGAGGGCGCATAGGTTTTCGACTCGGATTGATGACAGGTAGGCTTTGAGTGCAATACTTCCTTGTTAAATCAACACATGACTGATACGTTAGGATTGAAGTTGCTGTTAACGTATGTACTGAACCATCAGGCATCTTTCATATGTGTGTTCATGCAACGAGAATCTAGACGTAACCAAAACCGATGTTTTGGCCGGTTGCAGAGGATATCCATCGCACATAACCATGGCATACAACAGCAACGCGATGATAGACCAATGTACCGGCAACACTTCAAAGGCGTACTTTAGACCTATTCAAACGATAGAATAAGATGGGATATCAATGTGGCAGTGCTACTAGACATTCAGAGCCTCGGACCGCCGCAAACTTCAGATTACCTATCGTTGCGACGAGAAACATAATGGTGTGAACTCCCTTAGCGAAATTAGATACCGATTACCGCTGCTTGAGAGTAGCACAATCCGGAACATAAGACCTGGATAAAAAAGTACGCATAAAAAATCTAAACCCAAAACTACTGCAAAAACACTCAAGTACTTGGGGTGGAAAATATGATGGGTACACCAAGGCTGTGAACGGCACTGTACACTCACCACATGTGTATGAGAAGGAGGTTTCTCCCTCTAATCATCAGTAGCACTTGATCAGCCAAGCCTCATATGCCTAGTATTAATCACACAAATAGGCGTAGTATGCAATATGGGGTTTTCCTTTCTTTTCTGATTTAATAGACTTGCACATTGAAACCTTGTTTGACACCTTCATTCTCGAACCCTTTTTGCTCCAATTAATTGTTTTATATGGAAAGAATCTCTGTTGCTAACGGTACGGTCACTGTGAGTAGCTTCAGTCATTTCTTGAGTCCAACATCTCCTGAATCAAGGTATTGTGCAACCAAATTGCCGACCTATATAATGATAGTGAAACCCAACACATAGAAGAGCCACTGCGGAGGTACACTATTTGGACTTAAAGATATGTTAGGAAGTACACAATGTACTTTAGATACCTAGAGCTCGGGAGACGGCTCGCCATCGCCCCTTCTACGCCAGTAAACGAGCCAGAGTTTTTGTGACTTCCCTTCTATGAGAGAAGATGTTCTCATCAACCAATCAGATAGCTGAATCAGCTTCAAATCATGCCAAAATAATACCTTGAGTCTAGGCTGCCGTTAAGAGCCAAGATTGTTTTCGATTCCGCTATCGCGATGCGGTCCAAGGAGCATGCCCCCCCCCCCCTCAAACTCTCCCCTCTCATTGGCCAATCCCGGTCACAAGGCCCTGGCGCTCTGTAGAATCATCGTGAGTCAAGCAGTCACGCGTGTTTCTGCTTGCTACTTACCGAGGACGCGCGCATTCCTGTTCTCACCTGCTGGGGCACGCTGACACCGTCATCCTGTGTGGTCTTGTGGTCAGCGATAACACGCCATCATTGCCAACAGCCGCACCTGGTGCTGCGAATGACAGCCCGTTTAGAGCAGTGGTTAGCTCGCCGGCCTCCGGACCTGGTTCCTGATAGCCGGAAACTCGGGTTCGAATCCCGGAGCGGGTGAATTGGGTTTTGCCTTTCTTTTTTCTTCTTTTTTAACTGTAACTGTTTGATAATGCCCTCCTCAGACTGTGAATTGAGTCTCTTGGAGGTACGCACCTGTTGCTATACATCACTCTCCCGGTACCTACTTAGAAGTGAAGTGCACTCGAGATATCCTGCCGCGGATTGAATTTTAACCTTAATTTGATCCCCTGTCGAACGATATTTGGCGTTCTATTACAGCGGGCTGGCTGTTAAGCTACATGAAGTACGGCAGAGACGAAAGTGACATCACTAATAGACGGCCGGGCTGCAATCCCTGCTTTAAGACATGGGCACCAGGTCGCTTGGCTCTGATCCGGAGTTCGGCAGCTCGTGTTTATCTTATTGTCAGGCAGTTGTATAGCCAAGCCTTCTTAGCAGAGATATGCTGAGTACCTGGTCTGGGGTCTAGATTTGCGATCCCATGTTTACAGACTGAACGGAATCCCCTCAGTTATCTACGCCCGTCACGATGCGCTACCTGAAGATATCACATGTCATCTTGATTTTCAGCAAATCGATCGCCTAGAGAATTGTTTACTTGGGCTAGGCTATCATATAGGTACATTTTTGTTTGACCGACTTGCGCGCGTAGTCAATCGAATGAGTGGACGGGATCCAAAAGGCCCAAGCCAAAGCATGTATTGCCCTCCTGGCAGCTCCCACCCTCCATCTATCTGCTCCATCCTGGCGCTGTGCGGTGATCCTCCACGTCCGTTTATCAACACTGCCTTGGCGCTTGTGGTGGTGGAGATCAGGCCTCGATCCAGCCGACCAAAGAGCTCTAAGGGATTCTGAGCTTAGAGGCCGACAGGAGTCTGGCAGAGAACGTCCTGGCCAAGCTAGAGGAAAAGAATCAGCCATCTGCTTCAGTGAGAGTAGCTATCAGTCGAGAGGTACACATACAACGGGAAGGACACAGCAGCGGGCACGCTGGCCACCAGCGGCACAGATCGACTCGAAGTTGGAAGCGCTGGTGGGGACCTTGCTGGCTGAAGCCGAATATGTTAGTCACAATATCAATCTGTAGTATCGGAGTTGGTGACGTACGAGAAGCGCAGTCCAAGTCCGCAACACCGAGTACATCGGTAGCACAGCACTGCGCTGAGTCGTAGAGCCCGGAGCACTAGATAAGATATTGAATCAGTCAAAACGGTTCATCTATACATCGACATATTTCATTGAACTCTAGGGGGCTAAGACGATAATCTCAGGGGCTCTTGTGTAAGCGGCAGTGCCTTCAGAATCTACTCACGGGGTCGTATGGTCCACCAGTGCTGCCAGTAGGTACGGCGAGGGCGGTGGCGATGAGGCCAAGGACAGCGGCGAGGGTGGTCTTCATTTTGGCTGAGTTGATTGGCTGGTGATAAGTGCTTTGGAGCGAGAGTGTTCGAAGAAGCTGCTTGGTCTGGATAGGAGTCTGGTGCTTTGGGCTGATGAGTGAAGAGAAAACCGGGAAACTCGAGGGGAAATATCTGCTCATTATATAGACAATGCGCATCATACATCTCAGCCTATCCGCCCACATCATTCTGTGCTTTTCTCTCGGGGTCATGATGGACTGTAGGCAACGTCGATTCGCTTCTCAGCCCTTGCTGCCGCCCCTTGTTACTCCTGCCTTCCTGACGACTTGCCGCCGATGCCGCGACGCCACACGGCTCCCTACGTCGTAGTCATTCGATCCAAGAGGAGATGCTTCCAAAAACAAGTCCTGAAGTGCATGAGAGCCCACCGCGGTCAGCTTTCTGGATAGTTGAAGAGCAGGTATCGAACTGCGTCTCGGTTGTACCTACCTACGCGATGCTGACGGCCTCGCAACCAGGCTTCAGCAACTCACGGATGCCAATGAAGCAGCTGATTCGTCGATGGCCATACGGCCATACAGCAGGTCGTTCACCTTAGGCATGCGGTAGCTTGCGGCAGTCGATCGCTACCGGATCCGTCTAGTTGGAGAGAGGTCTACCCGAGATAATCTTGCAGGGATATCATCGTCGACAATTGCATAGCTGTCTGTTCTTGGCCAACAAGGGGTTTTCCCAATTGGGGCGGCCTGGGCAAAATTGATTGGCCTCGACAGAATTGGCTACAAGTGCGGAGAAACGGGTCACGATTGTAGCCGTTGCCTGCCGTTGTGACCGACGAATCGGCTATTGTGGGATGAGCTGACATGCTGGAGGGTAGTTTGGGAGGGGACTCACTACCTGTCACGAACCCAGCGAAATCCAAGCTCAGGCATCACACCACACTCGATGAACGGGCGTGCGGCTGTGAGGTAGTTATCGAGACCGCATGGTGTGTGGTGCGTGGTGTGTGGGCGAGCGTATGGTACCTAGGGACCGCATCTCTCATCTTTTTTAACTTGGTATGCTTACCGCGGCACCGTACCTATGTGTTTGGCGCCTGCTAACATATCAGGTACGTGACTGTTTTTCTTCCAATATTCGAAGAGACGGCCAAGTCCCGACGCAGCGGTGACCTTCAAGGACCATCGTGATCTGCAGACAGTGTGTGCGCGGGTGGCGGCGCCTGTTGAGCTGTCGTGCGTCTCCTATGTGAGTCCACCCCAGGCTGGCAGCGGACAGATCATGTATGTAATGTTGTGGAATTGAGGTGCATACCTAACATATCCATACCCAAACCCTGCGCGCTGAAAGGGAGGTACATAGCAGGGAAGTAGGCTGACTCGGGGAGACAACATGGGACGGAAACACGTCCAGATCACCCGACGCAAGACGACGGAGCATGAATCCCACAAAGGAGCCAGCGCGATCCATTTTTTTAATCTATTCTCCTACGACGTTTCGATCGGAACCTCTTTCCCGCCCCGCCCAGCTCGATAGTCGAGTGGCTCTCGATGGAGACGGCGGACCAGGCTGGGCGCTGCCATGTCCCATTGTCAGGCGGGCGGGAGGATATTTAATTGTCTTACTGCAGAATCCAGGAACAAGACTTGAGACCGTTGCATCTGCCCACCATCGTCGCGCGTTATGACGCGGTGGCCGTTGCGACGGCAGATCTGGTTGGACGCGTGATCGGACGAGGCGGCTACTGCCTCAACTCCAACCTTGATCCCAAAGGCATTCACTCATGATTTTGAGGCAGTTACAGCGGATGTACGCAGGAAACACAGGTAGGGCGTTCGATTCAGCTGGTGCCTATGCTCGGTCTCTTCACCTATGAGGCAGGCTCAAGATCTGACTGGCGATCCAGATGCGGTTCGCTTTCGGGTCACTTATTACCCGGTCGATCGTGTCCTCTACTTTACCAGGGCCACTACCAGCTCTCGGGTGAGATTTTGGGCAGAAACTCTGCACGCTGACTCCATGTCCAGCCCCTTTCCTGTATGATAATCTTCCGCTAACGGTGTTTGTTTCTTTTGTCCATCGAGTTGTCCAAGCTCCTCGCATACGTTTTCCCGCATACACGAACTACCCGGCGACTCCCGCGTGGAACGAGAGAGCCACGATCTCCAATATGGTAATTTGATTTCTCTACGGCTTCTTCGGTGACCACTTGGAACTCCTTAGATTGTCCAATCCCACTAGGCATGAAGGCAGTATCAAGGCCAACGCGACTGTAACAATAACATATTCCCCTGATCCCACCGGGGAAATTGGTGAGCAAATCCCCGGTGGGCGGCTCTCATGACTGCCCAGCTAAGCTCATTCTGCCGGGACAGCAAACCTGCATGCTCCAAGCGCCTTCAGAGTAACAGATACAGGGCTGAAGCGTAGGGCAACGAGGGTCATCCTGTCACATCTCCCGAGACCTTTAGCTTCCTATCGCCACATCTGACCACGTTACGCGCCTCGTTCTTCACTTCACTGCTATTGCAGTCCTGCGGACCATCTCAGGAAGTACCCCGAGAGCACAGGCATCCACAAGACTCCTATCACCATCCAGCTGTACCAACCATTCTGCGTTCTCGGGGTCCTCATCCCTTCGCCTGGAACTACCGTCGCCACCGGGGCCGGCCCGCCCCCTTGAGTGATGGGACAGATGAACGTCACGCTGCCGATACCTTGTCCCTTGAGATCATAGCAATTGGTGTCTTTTATAGCGATATCGGCGCCGGACTCGACGCTGTCAAGCGTAAAGGGGCAGTTGGGCTGCGTAGCCACAAGGAGAACTGGGGAGTTCCGGGTCAGACACTGCATAAGGCACTGCTACAAAGAAGACCGGCCCCCCTCCCTTGCCGAGCGACGAAGCGAAGTCAGATAGCCTGAGTAGGGATAGGTAAGAATCGGTGTAGACATCACTTACTCGGTGTGCCGCCGTTAGGACACTGCGGCACCGCAGATAGCAGGATGGAAGAAGCTCCTGGCGGCGGGTTATAGCAGAAGCCGAGATTGAGGTTTACATAGTGGCTCGAGGCGGGGTGTCCGCACACGGTGTCCCGGAAGAGGACGAAGGACATGGCACACTGGAGTGTTGTGTCCTCTTTCAAGACGAGTATGTGCGGAGCTTGGCCCGTGAAGTATGGAGACGTCGCTGTTAGAGTAAACAATATGAAATAGACTCAGGTATGGAAATTATACACTGTGAGTGAGTAGCTACCGAATGCGAAATATAGACGCAGATGATATTGTTCACAACAATTTCAGTCGTCGATGTTTGAATCTTGTCCTGTTAAGCTATCTAGAGGATGCGACGAAGGCTATGATTACTCTGTTATGATGAGTATGGTCATAGACCATCAAGGTCGCTTACGTTGAAAGTCAAATAGGCACCGTCGATGCGGCTTCAAGCTGCCAGCTTATTATAAACATCAAGCTTGCCTTCTTAGCACCGTGTGAAACTATTCTACGTGAATACGTCACTCAACATTCCCATAGTGACATCTCAGGTCCGTCGAGGGCAGAAGATTACCATCCATTCGCATTTGTGAGTTTTTGAGTCGATGGAGAGATCAAGTACCATGGAGTTGGGACTTCGTATCGTAACCCTCTCCGGTTGCAGTGAACCAGTTCAAGACGTGA